GACGACCAGGCGGTCGGCGGGTCTTCACCCCTTTATTGTCAATATTCCCCGCATTAGAACCAAACGTCTTGCTTCGACTTTTGTAATGCGTACAGCAAAGGAGTGCAATAATTTGCCGGCGTCTATCTGTCCGTCCCAGTCTCCGAGTACAATCTGCGTCTTCAAGGCAATAGTGAATAGGGTTTTGTTACGCTAAGACAGTGCGATTTACCATCTAAGACTGCATCACCACTTACCACCAGATGGGATTAAGGTCAAGCACTGGCTTAGAATAAGTAAAAAAAAAACAAGCTAGTAAATTACAGTAGCAGAAGCTTATGTTCCTAAAATTCTTTTACATTATGTTCCTGCCACTTATGGTTTGGGAATTCCCGACAATTTCAAAGTCCCGGGACATGGGACAGCCTATAATCAATGTTCCGGGATTCCCGCGACTTCGAGACTTTTAAGAAAAAGCTTTTTTTTTAAGATAGATAAGCCTCTTTTGATGAATTTTAGTTGAGTTAATTTCTGGCGAAACGTATTAAAAAGAGGCAATTAATTGTAAAAATCAACATTTATTAAACAATTAAACAGAAAATTAAATAACTTTAACGTTAATTTCAGTCTTAATAATTGCTTTGTTTATTTCTTTTAGTCACACACAGATGCACTTCTAAACAGTTAAATCTTATAGTTATGAAACGAACTTAGTTAAAAATCATACTAATTCTTAATAACTTTACTATTATCTAGTAATTCTAGTATCTAATCACATCTCATTGTTAATTCTCATAATCACATATGCCGTAAGCGCAAAGCGCATAGGTAAGTTCTACTAGCGCCTAAAAATCAAGATTCCAACGTTTTGTCGCATGAAATCGTATCTAGCAATCATATTATACATATAAATGATATAAAAAGCACATTGTCAGAAAATGATTGTTCAACTTATTAATATTTTTTTTTTTAAATCGAATAATTGCTATTTTTACATAAAAAACGGGTTTTAGTGGCTTACGGTGTGGATTTATCAAGTCCGTATGGCTTTGTAAACACGATAACTTTTGAACATATCAATTATTCAACTCAATCTATTTTTAAAATTCTTCATCTATCATGTGGGAAGCCATTGAATGTAAATGGCAGTTTAATTTTGTTTTGTTAAGTTATAATTTTTTTTTTCGGCAGCTAAACGTCATAATTTTCGGTGTTTTAGCAGCCTTGTGTTAGAATTCATTTTAGTAAATAGAAACTGCCTGTGCCTCACTCGGTTAGTTCTCGGCGTCAACCGCCGTTGTGAGTGGATACTGTATCGGTTGTTTGCAGCGGCTCAAAAAGATCACTTTACAAATAAATACAAAATATTCGATTAACAAATTTCATACATACTTGATTATATAATAATCAGAGAATTTTATTACAATATTTTAAGAGCACAGAAGAAATAATAGTAGTACGTACCTAATATTATGGGCTATTATGTTAATTTTCTTTATTTACAGAAACAGCGGTTGTCGATTTCATCTCTCAAAATAGACAAAGGTCTTCGCCTTCGGACGCCTTCTATCGGAGATCATAAGATCATCAACGAGATGTTGATGATCTCTTGATGAATGAATGATGAATCTTTTGATGGTGAATTTGTCATATTTACTTACTTTTACTTACTTTTAGTAGGTACGTACACCTACTAAAAGTAAGTAGGATGTAATATTTATACTTAAATACGTCTTGGAATTTATGAAGTGACATCAATATGATGACATATATACGAAGATCATATGAGCATTATGAGTCGTACACTTTGGATTTTGCAAACTTTTTTCAAATTGAAGTTAGACATCAAATTATCAGAAAATTGGAAGTATAATAAGGTTATCAGTGAAAACTTGTGTGTATTTAAACGACTTTAAAAAAATCCGTATAATCATGCTATACCTAATTTTTTTTAATGCGAAGGCATGCTCAATTGGATTTACCAATAGTTTTTGTTTCATTTATTGTGTTGCGTACTCAGTAGTTACGTAGTAGACCAAGTAATTATTCATTAAACTAACACATGGCGCTAGGCTCCTTCAATTATTTGAAAATAAAAATGATTACATGTCTCGACTAGAAAGTCCCGGGACTCGAGACAACTAAAATTACGAAAAGTCCCGGGACTTCGAGACACGAGACGTCCCGGGACCCAAACCCTACTGCCACTGCTACACGCGCTGCCGTAATAACTTCCTGAAACACTTCTGTGGCAGCATTGAAGGAAATGAGTATTTACAAGCACGTTCTATACGTGGTAGAGCCATGCTGCAGCTATTTCATTCCATCTTAGTCCTCACGGGTGACAACGCATCTGCATTTTGATTCGCAAACGAGGATAAATGTAGATGCATTCCATCTTAGACCTCAGGAGGGACAAGGCGAGTACTTAAATATGACAAATTCACCATCAAAAGATTCATCATTCATTCATCAAGAGATCATCAACATCTCGTTGATGATCTTATGATCTCCGATAGAAGGCGTCCGAAGGCGAAGACCTTTGTCTATTTTGAGAGATGAAATCGACAACCGCTGTTTCTGTAAATAAAGAAAATTAACATAATAGCCCATAATATTAGGTACGTACTACTATTATTTATTCTGTGCTTTTAAAATATTGTAATAAAATTCTCTGATTATTATAATAATCAAGTATGTATGAAATTTGTTAATCGAATATTTTGTATTTATTTGTAAAGTGATCTTTTTGAGCCGCTGCAAACAACCGATACAGTATCCACTCACAACGGCGGTTGACGTCGAGAACTAACCGAGTGAGGCACAGGCAGTCTCTATTTACTAAAATGAATTGTAACACAAGGCTGCTAAAACACCGAAAATTATGACGTTTAGCTGCCGAAAAAAAAATAATTATAACTAAACAAAACAAAATTAAACTGCCATTTACATTCAATGGCTTCCCACATGATAGATGAGGAATTTTAAAAATAGATTGAGTTGAATAATTGATATGTTCAAAAGTTATCGTGTTTACAAAGCCATACGGACTTGATAAATCCACACCGTAAGCCACTAAAACCCCTTTTTTTATGTAAAAATAGCAATTATTCGATTTAAAAAAAATATTAATAAGTTGAACAATCATTTTCTGACAATGTGCTTTTTATATCATTTATATGTATAATATGATTGCTAGATACGATTTCATGCGACAAAACGTTGGAATCTTGATTTTTAGGCGCTAGTAGAACTTACCTATGCGCTTTGCGCTTACGGCATATGTGATTATGAGAATTAACAATGAGATGTGATTAGATACTAGAATTACTAGATAATAGTAAAGTTATTAAGAATTAGTATGATTTTTAACTAAGTTCGTTTCATAACTATAAGATTTAACTGTTTAGAAGTGCATCTGTGTGTGACTAAAAGAAATAAACAAAGCAATTATTAAGACTGAAATTAACGTTAAAGTTATTTAATTTTCTGTTTAATTGTTTAATAAATGTTGATTTTTACAATAAATTGCCTCTTTTTAATACGTTTCGCCAGAAATTAACTCAACTAAAATTCATCAAAAGAGGGTTATCTATCTTAAAAAAAAACAAAAAGCTTTTTCTTAAAAGTCTCGAAGTCGCGGGAATCCCGGGACATTGATTATAGGCTGTCCCATGTCCCGGGACTTTGAAATTGTCGGGAATTCCCAAACCATAAGTGGCAGGAGCATAATGTAAAAGAATTTTAGGAACATAAGCTCTTGATGAATGAATGATGAATCTTTTGATGGTGAATTTGTCATATTTAAGTACGAAAATAACTTTTATCCAGGGAAAGTACCAAAAACAATGAAAAAAACAGCTACAATCTCATCGATGAAAGCAAATGGTCAATTGTGGAAATGGCCGGATCATATAGACGTGCTTGACTATCCTTAGGATGCAGTAGTTGCTCATATAGAAGAACCAAGAAAGACCAGTTCAACGAGAAATGTATTTGATGTTCCAGAGATACATTCCTTTATATAACTTCTTTGTAATTTTTAACGAGTTGTAGATTTTCTTATTATATTTCAAATAACACGCAATTTGTTGTAATTTGCTTCTTATTTAACAAACTAGCAGACGCCCGCGACTTGGTCCACGTGGGTTTACGTTTTTAACTGTTCCTTCCCCCCCCCCTCTCTATCCCTTCCCATCCCTCTGTCCCTACCTAGTTCACTTTCTCCCTCTCTCTCTAGTTTAAAAAACTAATACTCTACACAGACTTCCCCAACCTCCCCTTAAAATGTAAAATCCAAAGATCCTAAAACATTATTTATTTACCTATGCTCAAAACTTGAGCATCTGACTGGTCATCTATTGATGCAATATATGGTCATCTACTACTTTGTTAGATGGTCAGCTACTAAATCTAATTTTCTATTCAATCATTGTACAAGAGAAAACACTGGTTTTGTTTCCTTAAAAAACTACCGCAGAGTTTACAAAAGGAAACACTCATTGAAGGCGCATGAAAATTAAGGTTAAGCATTAAAAAAGGAAAGTCTGTGCTCTTAAATGGTCATTTACTGATGCTCTTACCTTATTTGAAACATGCTTTCTAAACAACGTTTAAAAATATCTTTTAATAAACGGGCATAACCCGCGAAACAACTAACATCTGTCATAGTTTATACGTTAGTAGGTCATTTTGGTTGAGAGTACTTTAGGGGTTTGTTTTGTGTGCGCCAAAAAGTTGTCTGCTGCATTGCTATTTAGTAGCGTAGAGAGGTAAGTATTATTTTCAATTTAGTAATATCTAGGGTATTAGTGTTCTGTGTATCTGTCTGTCTCTGATGACAATAACGCAGCTAATCAGATATACTGCAATGTTATTACCATCAATGTCGAACAGGTAAATTATATTCAACGGATCAGGGTATCTTTAGCCCGGGCCAAAGTTAGCAGGATATTTTAAACGTTGAAATGGAAGTGTTGCTTGTTCATACCTTATTTTAATTCAATTTTTTAAAGAATACAATGACAACAAGATTTCAAATAATATTTTGCCTCTGTCACTGGCTATCGAGTCAATATGGGTCGCAAGAAAAATCCGCGGCAGGAGTCAGGAGATATGGAACCAAGAGTAACTATTCTCAGAAAGACTTAGATGAGGCTTTAGATAAAATAAAGACATGCAAATTGCCTCAAATGGAAGCTGCAAATTTGTTTAAAATTCCAAGAAGTACTTTGAAATATAAATTGAAAGGACAGCATAATAAACTTGTTGGAAAGCCAATAGCTCTTTTAGAATCTGAAGAGGAACTTTTTATAAGTCATATTGTGACTTTGGCCGATCTAAGGACCCCAGTTGGAATGAATATATGACGTGCGTATTGTAATTAAAAAATATTTAGCTGATCAGTGTAAAAGTATAAACCAGTTCAAAAATAACATGCCTGGTTGGGAATGGAATAAAAACTTTCTCGATCGACATCCTGAAATAAAACAACGCATTGCTCACAACATTAGTAGGAAAAGAGCACAAATAAATAAAGAGATGATGATTGATTTTTTTTGACCATTTCAAAAAAGAATTGGCTGATGTACCACCGGAATATCTGTACAATTTTGATTAAACCGGCTTCCACGACAATCCAAAGAAAGCAAAGCTTTTATTCAGACACTTGCGAAAATTCGGAATTCATAAAAACTCCACAAAATCATGTTTTACTGTCATGTTCTATAGGAATGAAAAAGGAGAGTTTTTACCACCATTTATTGTATATAAAGCCAAGCAAAAATGGAGTGACTGGCTAATTGCGGCACCAGCTGGAACGAAAATGAGTGAATGGACAGGAATGTTGATTTTTCTATGGCAACATTTTATTTTCCCCATATTTAATTTAAGAAACAAATTGTCTACAATACTTTGCCTGTGGCTGTCTGCAGTATATTTATTAACACCAATTCGTAGGCCAATGTTAACCAAACGTTATAAATGCCATAAAGTAAGTGAAAACAGTCAATAGTTGAGATCTGGGCCAATCCAAGCCCAACTCATAGACTAACTTTAGCCCATAGGAATGGGTCTGGCCACTCAATTTTGTTAAGGGTATCAAAAAATTGTATAAAAAATTACGAATTCAACGGTATTCTTTTTTTTTCTGCATTTAAAAATGATTGAAATAGTGATGAGTAAAATGGTGATTTACGGTAAGGGCGACCGCTTTGCTCCGCATCACGATGTGACATCACAAAACGACACGTCGATGCCACCAGTAGTCTTTATTGTTATATTTTTCTTATTTTCTCCATATTTATTACTCCATATTTTTCTTGTCATGTTATTTATTTATCAGTAACCTTTATTTTCTGTTTTTTTTTTTTAATTTCTGTTATATCACGCTCCTTGGGAATATAATCGTGACCTAAGATACAGGTTTTACCTAGTTTAGGCACCAGTTTTTCACCTAACAATAGTATTGTATCAGATGTAAGCACATATTTTTTGTTTTCTGAATGTATATTGTTGGTGAAAATAAATAAAATAAAAATAATGTATTTTTACTGGAAAAAAAATCATATAAAAGTTAAATGTTCAATACTTTAGTTTATACATCAAATCAAATAGTTTATTTGTAATTCACAGTTTAGATAAAGGTGTTATTTAAACACAAATAAAGTTCAGTCTGTGATCAGCCTCATGGGCATCATCATCATCGTCATTACAGCCCTTCATAAGTCCACTGCTGAACATAGGCCTCCCCCAAGCAATGCCACAAAGTACGGTCCTGAGCCACCTGCATCCATCGACTTCCTGCATGTCTTACCAGGTCGTCACTCCATCTAGTGGGGGTCGCCCTACACTTCGCTTACCGGTACGGAACTGCCACTTGAGAACCTTTCTTCCCCATCGGTTGTCGGTTCTTCGAGCTGTATGGCCGGCCCACTGCCACTTCAGCTTATTAATCCGTTGGGCTGTCGGTTACTCTGGTTCTACTGCGGATATCCTTATTTCTAAGTTTATCACGCAGAGTAACCGCGAGCATAGCCCTCTCCATAACTCGCTGAGCAACCTTGAGCTTCCTCATACGGCCAGCAGTGAAGGACCACGTCTCAGATCCGTAAGTCATCACTGGCGTCAGTGCGTGTTGCACTGGTTGTACAATTTCGTTTTCAGGTTTTGAGGTATGTCTAACGAGAAGATGTGTCGTAGTTTCCCGAACGCTGCCCAGCCGAGTTGAATCCTCATGGGCATACAAATGTCAAATATTATTAATAGTTCATTGATTACATTATTCATAATAATAGATTAGATTATTAGATTAAATTATTCATCATAAATAATATTGATTACATTGGATTAGATTAGATTATTCATAAATTATTAGTTCAAAATTATTATATAGTCGTTGGGTTTATTATAAGTATTATGTCATCTAATACAGTCAACCGGACATTAACTCTGACATTCCATATAATATGAAGGTAAACGACCGTATACTTCCGAGGGCGTGGTTAGTACTGAACTTAGCAAGTTCCTACTGCGCGCTCGCTCTCTCGGCTTGTGACGTCACGTCACAAAGAACGAGCGGGTAAAAATTAAAAATATTGCGAAACTTCAAAACGTTATAACTTTCGTATTTCTGCACCAATTTGGATGAAACAAAAACTATTGTTATTTTCATAAACATAGCTTTAAAGCTATATAGGTTTTATTGTCAAATTAGAACATGTTGGTGTGACCCATTCGAAGTCTTTTTACCAACCTTTTCTTAAAAACATAACATCTGGTAATATTTTTGAAATATAGACCAGACCACCTAAAGTCACTAAAACGCTTATATCCCTAAGCCTAAAGGACTAACTTAAACATTTATTAATACTTTTATCTGAAAAGTGTGCCAAAGATACCCAGATTCACTGTATTTGTAGGTCGTATAAGTACTTGTTTTTGGTGGCAGCTTCAAATATTGTTGATAAAATCTCGTTTCTTAATAATAATACTTTAAAGTGTGCTCCGGCTCTCTGGATGACTAAGTGCGGGCGTCCAAGTTATTTCCTAAAATCTGAGTTTTCAAAAAAAAAAACGAAAAGTTGACTAAATATATGGTTCATGGTAATCTAAATAACGGTACAATAGTCTTACTCAAGTGAAGCCACGGCGCATATCTGTTGTATAATATATTAATTTAATCCTCATAATGTTGCTCCGGTATTATTGTTTAAATAATGGTTTGAAGTAGGTTATGATATGGGTGCGATTTTGTGTATTAAATGTCTGCACATTTGAACTATTAGCGGAAACGATGAAACAAGTGCTGCGATGGCGATGTAAATCTCAAGATAAATGTGTCTCCTTTTAGGCGCCTTGAAATGCCATAGCCAACTGTCTGCTGGCTCAAGTTGCCATCAAAATTTCCCAACAATTACGCAATGTGACGCATCAACATAAAGTGAAGCAGTGTACTTTATACTATTATTATTACTTGATAGGTATTGAGATAAATGAAGACATGGCTTAAAGAACAAGGATCTAAGTCAAAATCTTAATAAAAAAAGCAACAACTGACTGACAATTTTGACAAGGTGGAGAAAAAAAAACCGAAAAAAAAGTTGTGTGACATTTCCATAGGCAACCACAACTAGGGAGCGAAATTATTTTTTGGATTTTCATATAAAATAATGTTTAATTTTATAATTTTTATTAACTCTAAGATGTATATATCAATATGAATTTGGTTCTTAGTGTTTCAAAGAAGTTTTAGTTTATAGTGCATAGATATACAAGTGAATACGCCCTTGAAAACAGTGTAACAAAAAGTCTAAAGTCAGCTTAGCAACAACAATTCGATCAGTATAATACCTATTTTAAGGAATATTACGCGTTGCATACCATTTGGGTGCCTTTATGAGGTAAGGAGACGTTCATATTATAAATTAATACGATAACTTTTCTTTAGAAACATATAAAAGCGCATTTAAGTTATACCTTTGTGTACTACCTAGAGTAAGTAGGTCTATCTATAGTAGTTGTAGCGTATGTACATTTATTTGTAAAAAACTATTGTTATGGTCTGCGGCGATGTTCATGACCATCTTTTGACTATATTATTTTTCTTACCTTTTATATAATATAGGAATTATTTACACTTCAGATCAACAATAGAGTAAGATTTTTCTCCTTAATTAATTATTTTTATTTTATTTTATAGAATAGGGTGACAAACGACAACACAGACCACCTCATGAAAAGTGGATGCTGTGGCCCATAGATAGTAGAAAAATATGTCTGTAATCAGATACAAGACTTTTACATTAATAATGACATCCTATCGAACTCACAATATGGTTTCAAACCTAACAAATCTACCTCTAAGCTGCTATCAAAATTTACAAATGATGTAAACAAATTTCTAGATGATAGAAACCATGTTATCCTGCTACTCATAGATTTCAGCAAAGCGTTTGATATGCTTCGACACAATACGCCCTTAACAAAACTAGAGAATACCAGTGTACGTGGCCCAATTTTAGAGTGGTGCAAAGACTACCTCTATAATCATAAATATAAAATTAAAATCTGTGATGAAGTTAGTGATGCTATGGATGTTACTGAAGGAATAGTTCAAGGTTCGGTGCTTGCACTATTTAGCATATGTTAATGATATGGAGCATGTCGTCAACCATTGTTCAGTTTATCAATACGCAGATGACACGTGTATTTTGGCTACCAGCAAGGATCTAAAAGGAGCAGCGCAATGGCTGTGACAAAATTTTACACAAATGTCCAAATGATCACATGATGCAGGACTTGTCTTAAATGCAAATAAAACCAAAATTGTTCACGTTATCTCAAACTACACAACACGGATTTTAAGGTGGTTGCTCACAGTCACAGATGTCTGCACAAATCAACTCTAATAAGGAATAGGATTAATTGTAAATAATAGATTTAGCTGGAGATTTCACATAGATTCTGTTTGTGACAAATTACGAGCTATAATGGCTAAATTCTACAGTTTAAAACCTAAAGTACCATATAATATCCTACTCAATATATGGCCTTAGCTGAGTCAATTATAACATACAGAATTTCAAGTTATGGACATACCTTTAAGTCACATACTGAAAAAATATATAAACTACAACTAAGATTACTTAAACTTATTTATTATACCTCAAAAAATAAAACGACAATATAAAGATAACTTATTAGACATTTTCAAATACTGCAATATATTACCCATGCAGATGAAATTTCACATGACCCTCTTAATTGAACAATTCAATAATAAAAGCATCCAAGTGCCCATATCCCATATAAAGTAATTACAAGAAATATTACCAAACAAAAATGAAATGTGCCTAGGATCTCAAATTAC